AAAAAGAAGGAGAGAGAGAGGGGAAATATGAGCGAAAGTAGTGGTTAAGTAGGAAAATAGTTGTGATATTAATAAAATGTTTACATTTTTGGGAAAAAATAATGGCTTTCTATTGAAATACTTAGTAGGTTTCTTATGTTCTAGAAAAATATATAATTGTCAGTCTTAGAAAAACTTTCTTTGAGTACATTAAAACTTTTTGTTATCGATATTTGATGTGTGTTTCATTTTGAATATAAAAGAGGTTGGGTATACCTCAAGGGTCACCTTGAGGTATACCCTTCCAGAAATTACAACGAAGTCCAACATACCGAAGAATAAAATGTTGATTATACAAACGATAAACAGATGACTGAAAATTCTGATGAAGATGAACCAGAAGCCACATGAAGAAGTAGAAGAGTAACTCGTTTGCCAACAAAACTATTTGATTATTTAACGGGCTCCAATGCAGAAAGAATGCATAACAAAGTCCCTGAAAACTTTGAAGATATTTTTAACAGAGAAGATACATACATATGGAAAATTACAGTAGAGGAGGAGCTTAATTCAATGAAGACAAATATTGTAACCGTTCCTCCTAATTCAAAGTTGTTGACGTCAAAGTGGGTCTTCCGGTCAGCCCAGCGAAGTATAAAGCTATACTAATTATGAGAGGATATCTTCAAAAGTATGGAGTGATACATATGCACCTTTCGCAAAGTTGAACACACGTCGAATTGTCTTAGCAGTGGGAATATAACATAAATATTTCTTTCACCAGTTGGACGTGAAAACTGCATTTCTGCATGTAAATTTAAACGAGAAAATATACATGACTGTGCCTGATGGTGTAAATTACAAAAGCGGTCTTGGCTGCAAGCTTGAGAAATATCTTTACGGTCTAAAGCAAGCACCCAAATGCTGGAACAATAAGATCAATGTTTTCATTACATCTCTGAGTTTTCAACGTTTGAAACATGACTACTGCCTCAATATGAAGATTAATAAGAACAAAAATGACGTACGTTTTTGAATATTGTATGCAGATGATCTTCTGATAGTTGGAAGTAAACTGAGAAACATCAATCAGCTAAAAGAAAATCTTAGCGGGAATTTTCATATGCCAGATTGTGGGCAACTTAAATATTTCCTAGGTATAAAATGTTTAAACGAAAATAGTTGTTTCGCTTTATCTCAAGAGAATAGCATTAGAAAAGTGTTGGGAGAAATTTGGCCTATACGATTGTAATCCAGTTAAGACACCGACGGAAAAGGGTTTACTGTTACATGCTTCCGAAAAGGAGGGACAAACTCGACGTCCATACAGGGAACATTTGTTCAAGACCAAACATTTGTTATAAAGTTGGAAACCTTGAACGTTTTCAAGAATATCCATCAGATATACATTGGCAACACCTAAAGAGAATTGCAAGATGTATTAAAGGCATCCGCATCCGCAAAGCTCGTGCTTAAAAGAGATAAAGAAGACTCAATTATTGGGTTTACAGATACAGGGACTAAATCAATGCAGTGGAAATCGAGTACATCGGTATCGTAATGTACTTTACGCGGATCACCGCAGTCGTTATCGAATTGTTTCTACTCGAAGTTGTACACGATAGGTGGTATGCTATCGAAAACTACATTCATAGGGATTTTTGCGCGGAAAAAGGTAAATGAACAGTAACAAGAAGTGGGTGAAAATATAAGAATTACTTATTTTGACAAAATACATTCAAGAAAATATATTACTTGCATTTAATGACACGGATTAAGAAAGGAATGATCAATAGTCGCCTGAAAAAAATGCAACAAAGTGAATGCAAAGCAGAAAGAGACCCAATTTATGTTTAAGCATCCAGACTTAGCCAAAAATAAGTTTCAAAACTGAATCCGAAGACGAGGAAATCAAAAAAAAAAAAAAAAAAAAACAAGTGAAAAAGCGTTAAGTTCGGCCGGGCCGAACTTTGGATACCCTCCACCATAGATATAATGACAGGTACTTGAAATGAAAATAAAGGGAACATACCAAAAAGTGGCCTTTCTACAAACTGATTATGTAAATCATAATGTACACCAAATAAAAATTTCATAAATTTTTAATGAATATTTATACCCTCAGCCGTATGGCTAATGATGGTGTATACACTTTGATACAGTGAAAATGTGCCTCGTCGAAATATTGGTTCTAGACCCCTCATTTTTTTGCACCAAATCCATTTCAAAAATTTTGATTTCATCCAAACATTGTCTATCTTATTATTTATTCCAAACTTTGTTCAAGTTCGAAGATGGGAAATATCGGTCCACTCCTTCTGGTACGTCCCACACAGGGGCTAGACCTAGGCCTAAATCTGAACCTTACGTTTTATCCTCCGCAGGTGAAATGATTACAACAGAGTCTTAGAACCAAACGCAGAACAAATCAGATAACTATTTTAATATAAAAAGGGTGTTATATGGGGACTACGCCCAAAAGCGGGCGAATATTAATAATTTTTAGTAGGGAGATTTGTTATCATATAAGACTACAAAATACCAAATTGCAGCCAATTCGGTTGGAAAACGCGCTCAAGAACCCCAAAATACCGAAAATTGTGGGGTACCCTTAAATGGGGTCTACCCGAAAAAATTGACCTATATTCATAATTTTTTGTGGACAGATTTGGTACATATTAAGAACTCAAAATACTAAATTACAGCCAATTCGGTGTAAAGAAACAACCAAAACCCTCAAAATACTGAAAATTAGGAGGTACCGTTATATGGGGCTACCAAAAAAGTGGACCTATACTTATAATTTTTTGGTACCCAATAAGAACCCAATGTACCAAATTTTAGCGAATTCGGTTGAAAAACGCGCTCAAGAACCCCAAAATACCGAAAATTGGTTGAAAAACGCGCTCAAGAACCCCAGAATACCCTTACCCTTAAATGGGAGCTACCAGAAAAAAGGACTTTTATTTATAATTTTAGTGAAGATATTTGGTACTCAATAAGAACACAATGTACCAAATTTAAGCGAATTCGATTGAAAAACGCGCTCAAGAACCCCAAAATACCGAAATTTGGGGGGTACCCTTATATGGGAGCTACCAGAAAAAATGGACTTTTATTTATTATTTTTAGCGGAGATATTTGGTACCCAATAATAACCCAATGTAACAAACTTCAGCGAATTCGGTTGAAAAACGCGCTCAAGAACCCCAAAATACCGAAATTTTGGGCGTACCCTTATATGGGAGCTACCAGAAAAAATTTATTTATATATATCATTTTTGACGGAGAGATTTGTTACCCAATAAGAACTCAATGTACCAAATATTAGCGAATTCGGTTGAAAAACGCACTCAAGAACCTCAAAATACCGAAAATAGAGGGGTACTCTTATATGGGAGCTTTGACTAAATCTAGCCCATCTTGACCTGCCTGCAGACAAAAGACAACTCTATGCAAAATTTTGGCGTTCTATCTCCATTCGTTTAGACGCTAGAGTGATTACAACAGACGGACAGACAGAGATGCTTAAATCGTCATAGAATTGTGTGCTGATCAGGAATATATACTTTATGCGGTCGGAAATGATTATTTCGATGCGTTACAAATGGAAAAACAAAACTAATATACCCTCCATACTATGGTGGAGGGTATAAAACAATTACGATCGAATGCGGCGATCCAAAAATTTACAACGATCGAAATGTTTCTCTATACGAAACAGAACTCGATGATGAATTCGGTGATTTGGCCTCTGATTAGGCATCGGAAAGTGTTGACAAGAAATCTGTGAGTGGATCCGTGTTTAAACATATAACTTTTATACAACGAATAATAAGACCTGAGATCCTTGGACCTCCGCAAACCATATGCTGAGGCCATATATCTGATTTTGATTTGTATTTCTTTTTTTCAGTAGTATTTTCATCAGCCCCCTTGTGCCCCCTTCTGTCCCAGTTTTGTGTGGAAATAAAACACAATTGATTTTTTTTTTTAATTTGTAAAAAAGATTTTATTTTTTAGAAAAATTACGTACTTCTCTTTTTTATAGTTGTATCTGGTGGATGTTCAAGCATCTCTTTTGTTTTCTTCTTCTTCATCTTTTCTGTAAGAATGGATTTATGTATTATGAATAAAAACATTATAAAATTTATAGAAAAAATTATTAAAAAAACATATAAAAATACTTATATAAAAATGTAATTAAAAATAATAATAAAAACTATAACTATAAAACTACAAATTAAACTTAAGCTAGAAAATTATGGTAAAGTAAATATATAAGTAGTTATTAATAAAATAGAATTAGGTGTGGAATACATTGTTCGACAATGTTCCAAGGGGGATTTTTCGTTTTTTTTGAAAAGGAAGCTCTTTTTGGGTTAGAGTATAATTCTATATAAAAAATACAAATTGTTTAGCAAAAAGCTTCTTTAGAGGCTGTTAGTAATACACAAAAGCACATAAAGCATGCATAGCAGGCTTCTAAAGCATTTCCAGTTCCCATTTAAAGGGTAATTGAGGAGGGCGAAGGAATGCTATTCCAAGGCTGGATAACGTTTAACAGAAACAAATATCACACGAAGAGAAAAGTTTTCAAGTTTAACGCAACAAAATTATAAAATTAAAAAAATAAACAAATTTCAATAATACTTACCTTTATGTTACATATGTACATTTCGTGTTTTTTAATTTATTTACATATGTAGGTATGTATGTTCGTTAGGTATTAACAGCAATGTAAAATTATGATACTAGCATCATATGAGATTCTTTTCAAAAATTCTTATAGTTTAAAAAAATTAAAAAAAAACTATTCTAAACATAACCTAAAAAATAATGGCTAGCCTAAACTTAAAAAAAATTAGTTAAGAAATGCTTTCGTTTACATTTTCCGAGGGATGGTGGGACAGTCACGGGGTTTATCCAACAATGCCAATGTTAACTTAAGCTTTTCTGTTATAGTTATTTCATTGCTCACAAAGCTTTCGAAGCTTTCACACATTCACACGTTCTCACAATTATCTGCGATTGTTCAACATCTTCAAATAGTATTCACAGTTTGTACAGTACTGTTGAGGAGCGATGACATGACGTTTACGACATAAATTGCACTCGGAAGCTTTTGCCGAAGCTTTTACAATGGCATTGTTATAGACACGAGTCGGTATGGCAGTTACATTTACATTGCTGTTATCATTGCCGGCCATCTGCTGCTGCTGCTGTTGGGCTTGTGGTGGTATAGGGAGGCCATGTTTTTGTAGTAGTTGCTGTTGTTGTTGCTGCTGCATGGGCTTGGGCGGCAGACTGTTGCTTTCACTGGCATCACCCTTGGTGCCAGGTTCAAAGCTCACTTTCTTCGTCTTCACCGGTTGATTGACAATCTGTGAATTAGAGGGCAGGGGCATATAGGGATGGTTGGGTGGTTGATTGGACTGGAGGGCGGGATTAGCATTTTGAACATGTTGTGGCGCAGGACGATTAAATTGTGGAGATTCACTGTGATGTTGTGGATAGCCATGAGGCATGGGAACACGTTGATAGGGAGAGGGAATGTGTTGTGGGGGTTGTTGTTGCTGCTGCTGGGGTTGTTCCAAACCTGCAATGCCAGGATAATAGTTAGGGGCAGCGGCCGCCCGGGGAGGCATAGTGTAATTTTGTTGTTGTGCTTGTTGTTGTTGTGTATGCGTTGCCAACATCTGCATATGTTGCGACGCGGCAACATTAGCGATGCCGCTCATACTGGTGCGTGGTTGCATGGGATTCTGCTGGGAGGGCATTTCACTGTGTGTGACATGAGACATGTTATTACTTGCAGCCAATTGTTGTTGGTGCTGTTGTTGTTGCTGTTGCTGCAGGCGATAAATGTCTTGAATGGGGGTGTACACCTGGCCGGGGGGTAATTGTGGCTGCTGCTGTTGGGATTTTTGCATTTGTTGCTGCATTTGCAGTTGTTGTATGTGTTGTTGTTGCATTTGCTGCTGTTGTATTTGTTGTTGCTGTAAACGCATGGCCTCCAATTGTGGCCTTTGCAGCTGGACATATCGCTGCATATCCTGGGCTCCCGATAAGGCAGCACGTCTCTCGACGCCCAACATTGGAGAGGGCTGGGCCATTTGCATTTGTTGTTGCTGCTGCGGCTGTTGTTGCACTCCACCTCGTGTTGGAGCCTCGGTTTGTAGCCTCATAATATTCTGTTGCTGTTGTTGTATCATTTGGGCGGTCACCTTATCATTGGGACTTTGGGCGGTACGCAATACCCTTTCCAAAATGGGATTGGGTATGAAATCATCATCCTCTTCATTATCGGCAGTGGCCACCAGGATAACCTGATCGCAGAAGGAGACACTTTTCTTCTTGACACGTTTAGGTGGGGCATTATTATTTGTCGCGGCAGGTTGAGTGGCGTTGGAGTTCAGGGTCTGTTGGACCATATTGTTCAGCAGTTCCACTTCACGTATCTCTTCGGCAATTTGTGTCTGAGAAATGTCATATTTCGGTTTGGGCAAAATAGAGGACATTTGTTGCTGTTGCTGCTGTAGCAGTTGTTGTCTTTGTTGCAAAGCCTGGGGTGGTAGTGGTGGCCTTTGAGGCAAACAATCCACCTCATCGCTTTCCGATTTCTGCGGCACTCCATTGAGAGAAGCCCGCATTGGTTGAGATTTCACATTGAGGAGTTCCTGGGAACCAAAAGCCCGCATGGGACTTGGCGATTGTTGTTGTTGCTGCTGTTCGTAGCGCTGGGCAATCGATTGGACATTTGTCAAATCCTGTTGACGTTGCAACTGCTTCGATTGCAATTCTCGCAGCCAGGAGTTTTCATTCGTCGAGTTGTTGTTGCCGGCAAAAGTGGGAGTATTGCCATGCTCCTTGCGCATTTTCATCAAATGTTGCCTTTGCTGTAGCTGAGCCAAAATACTCGTCGTTCCCTCCATGGTTTCCAGGTTTCTTTGCTGTTGTTGTTGCTGCTGTTTATTGGCTGCCTCCAAAGCCTGGATTTGATTGATTTGCTGATTCAACGGTTCCAAATCGATTTCCGGTGGTGGTGGAGGGAAATCTTCACTGGCCTGTCGTGAATGGCTAACACTATGCGGTGGGCTGGGGTAGGGAGGCAGTTCCAATGGCGGTGGTGGTGGTGGGAAATCTTGGGAATCTTGTCGTCCATGGACGGGAGTCATACCACCACCATCTATTTCATCGGCCAATTGTTCAGTTGACTTGTAGGCTTGCTGATATAAATGTTCCTTGGCCAAGGGGCTTTGTTCGTTGTGCACTTGAGCACAGGTGGTGATTATGGTCTGGCAGGAATCTTCACTGATCGAAGTGTTCGAACTCATAACCGAGAGGTTAGAGAGGGTGGCCTCATGATGGAAATGTTGCATGAGTGCAGCATCCTGCTGCTGTTGCAATGCCAATTGCTGCTGCAACTGTTGTTGTGTCAGTGTGGATGAGGTTCTCATGGGCGGTGGAGGTGGTTGTACCTTGGCCACCACAGTCAATTGCCTACCACTACCATGGAAACTCTTACGCATCAATTTGCTACGTTCCAAATTGGGATTGGCAGTGTTGCCACCATTGGCTGCGCCATTGCCCTCGCGGTAATCAAAGTGTCCCTCGGAAATGTAACCACTCATCGAATTGGCATGTTGTAGGCCAACAACGGAATCATCTACGGAGGCGGTTAGGGGAGGAGGATTGGCGACAGCTTGTTGTTCGGTTTTTGCCTCATCACCAGCCTCGGTGAGATCAGGCATGGAACGATTTTTACGTCTTATCAGGCCACCCATTAACAACTTACGGCGGATTTTATGTTGTTTCTTGCCATTTTTATCCTTTTCCTTCTTTTCATCTTTATCCTCTTTGTGCTTTTTCAGCGTATCCTTGGCATTGACGAGCAGAGTTTCCGTGAGTGAAAATTCTCGGCTAATTTTATTGCGATCTTCACTGCGGCTACGTTTATCTTTCTCCGATTTGCTGCTGCGTCCGAATAGGGAACGGCTCTCCCTTTCCGGTTTGGCAGCCACTGCAGGGGTGGCTTCATATTCAATATTGTCAGTATCATTAGAAGCCAAGGAGGCGGTGACCAAAGCCTTCAGAGGACTCTTCTTTTTCGGCAATGTGGCATAAATCTCAATGGATTTATTGTTGTTGCCATTTGCATTTCCCGCCGAAGCAGGAGAATTGGCGGTGGCTGTGTTCGAATTACCATCCAAGGTCTTATCTTTACTATTCTGTCGAACATGTTTGATAACACTACTGGTCGAACCTTCACGCATATGTTTCATTTCAGGCATGGCATCCATTTCCGCACCCTTCTCCAAGAGAATGCGGCGATGCAAGGAGCGTGCACGCATAACACAGGTGTTATGTTTCATGCGAGCAAATGTCATGGTATGGGGATTGCTATAAGGGGCATCCATGGCAGCACGAGCACGTCCCGCTGCAGCATTACACAGAACCAAAGCTGTCTCCAAATCGTGGGACTCTTCTAGAATGCGAGATTTCTCCAGTAACTGATCAGCTTCGTGGCACAATTTTTCACAATCCCCTGTCAACACCACGGAGGGTGAGGATTCGGGTATCTTAGCCAATTGTGGATTCAATGGATGTTTTGGTGGATAAGAATCGGTGGAACTCAACGAGAACGAATCATAACCCGGATCGTAGGGTAAGCCATTGCGGGTGGGACTTTGTGGTACCGCCGCTGCTGAACGTTTACCCACCATATACAGATATGGGTTATCCAAGGTGGTTGAGGAAGCAGAACTGGCCGAGTTGCGATCACCAGACCAATTGCCTGAATCACGACGGCGGGGTTGATTTAAATGTTCCGGTATGGTGAGACCATCACTGGGTGGCGACGAGCTATTGGTCGAAGATGTGGTGGATGAGGCTGAAGAACTTCCACCCGAGACATGACCCGATTCGGCACTATGCGACCTTTGCAACTGTAAATGTTGTTGATGTTTACGGGCCAGCTGTGAATTCAACACAGCCTCCAATGATTTACGCTGCTGATAATTATTCAAAGCATTGATATCCTTCTCATCCTGAGGAAAGATTTTATCCTGAATAATACTCAAATTTTGATATTGGGCACTGAGGACATGTTCCACAGTTTTGCGACTAATATAGGCATCGGTTTCATCGGTATTTAGATGGCCAGATGGATCGGAAGGATTTTGCTGCTGCTGCTGTTGTGCTTGTTGTTGCTGCTGCTGCCCTGGTGGGAATATATTTTTCTGTATAACACTTAGGTTTTGATAATCATTGGGCATGCGTAGCGGGGTGGGTGTTATGGCACGTCTGGTATTGCCCATTTGTGGTTTCTCTGGGCTGGGGGTAATGGCGCGTCGAACTGCTGGCGACTGCGAATTATTGGCCATTTCATGCATATATTGAGCGGATGACATTTGGATATTGGCCACGGGAGCATTGTTAGCTTGCGGAACGGTTTGGGGTTGTGGTACTGCATAGAGCAGCAACAACGGTTGATAACGACCACGGCTACATTTATCGACCACACCTTCCCAATGGGGGCCAACCTGAAAGGAGAAGAAGAAGAAAATTAATTGAGGTTTTGTGCAGAAGTTAAGTAGCAATATTGAAACAGAAAATTTTGTATTTAATTTTCCTTTCAGAACCAATTACGGAACATAGGTGAAAAGTGTTATATTGGCATCTTGAAACTGTTATACAACAGAATATCAATATAGGAAGTAAAAAAATATAATTTTGTGCACAAAACTTACCTCCTTAACATTGGCATCATCAAAATATACCCAAACCTTTAGTTTGGTATGGAAAAAGAATGTGGTATAATGTTTGCCATAATACGATACAATGCCGACCAATTCATGTTGGACACCTTGGGCCCAACGTTGATCGCTGACCTGATGGAAAACATCAGATAAACGTAAACTTGTACCAATCGCCTTCAACACCGAATGGACCTGATCGGCAGCTGGTCTCTCCGAATCCCAAACAATGCCAATGGAGACAACATCGGGACGATTTAATAGGGCACGGCAAATGCCGATTTTGGCACCACAGGAACTCTGTAAATAGGAAAAATAGAGAAATTAGAAACAAAAAACTGAATTTAGATTGCAAATTACTTACCGGACAATCACGAATGTCACCCATATTGCCGGCTGCCCTTAACAATTGGCCAAAGGTCAATTGTTGATGATTTTGCAAAGCCAGGGAATTTTGTGAGGTCAATGCCGAGGCTGAGACATAGTGGACCATCTATAAAAATAAAACAAGAGAGGAAGGGGGATGGGGAACATTAGTTAAAAATTTTTATGAATGAATTTGTATATAAAGTGTGGGCTGGTTCATTGACGGCCAATCGATGGCCATAAACAAAGTGTTAGCAAGTGTTTATGGCCACCAGATATGGTGCTGCGTTTAAAATTCTTAATTTTCAAATGGCAAAACACTGCCAAAAATTTTAAATTTTTACATTCACCAAAAATTTATTTGATTTAAACGCCGGAAATTTCAAACACCCACCAGCTGAGACAATGGGTCGCCACACACACTAAGTCTGGGGTGTTATTTGAAAGCACGTGTTATATTGTCATTTAATTAAAAAATATAAATCAATAAACTACTGTCCACCAAGACAGTGGGATGTATTCTTGTTTATGGTTGTTATGTGTGAGCGAAAAAAGAAGCCTAAATTAATTAATAAAAAAAATTGAATTCAAAAGACTGGTTTTGTGTTAATCTAACTATTCATTATGCCGTATAGATCACACAGAATAATGTCAATAGCAGCAGTAACAACAACAGAGACATATGTAAATTTTTCTAAATGCAATGCCTAATTTGGTTGCCAAGCCAATAAAAAACAGCAGCAACAACAACATCACAAATAACGTCACCTACCAACCAATAAAAAATTATGAATGATATTAGTTGCAATAATTGCCTCACCCTCTATGGTCAATTGCTGAAGCCTTCAATAATAGATTTACTTTCAATGTGATAGACAAAACCAGAGATAGTTACACACACATATATATATACCTACATATGTTTCCAAACTTAAATCTGCAAAAAACACAGCACGTCTCCACCTTCCATTGCCCAATCTACTACCACACCACCCTATTTCTTTTTGTTATAAATCACGTTTGTGGCTTAAGTCTTTTGTTCTTTGTACCATATTTAGACAATGTTTGATTAACTATAACACCAACAATCACATTATAATAGGTTTTATTATGGCAATTTTTCGTTATATTATTGACAATTATGGTTTGCCAATATGTCTGCCAGATGAGGTGAGTGGCTTTGAGACATTGTCCCCCTCACTCTCTCTCTCTTTGATTTTTTACTGAAATACCTATTTTTATTAAGTAAGCCTTTATTTGGTCGACAAAAAAAAGGTAGCGTTATTTCGTTTTTGAAATTATTATTAAAAATAGATCAAAAAAATTTAAATTAAAATTAAATTAATTTAAATTAAAAATAGATCAAAAACATTTTTGAAAATTTGGAAATGATATTCATTGATGAAACGCCACAAAAGGGAAGGGCATTGTACAGCTTATTTTTTTGGAAATGGAGCAATTCGTATTTATTTTTTGTTTTATTTTGTGAATGTTTGCTAAAAATGGGTTTTAAATATTTCAATAATTATTGAAAATATTTTTTTTTTTTGATAAAAATATAAAAAAATATTCAATATTTTCGTGGTAAAGGCAAAAGACTTAAGACAAGAAAGTCATTTGTTAATGCAATAGCTTTAAAAAGCTTTGCTGGAATTACTATGAAGAGAACCCTTTCACAGATTTTCTTTGGCTCAGCAAAAGGTCTCTCAGAAAGCAAAAGACTTAAGACACGAAAAGAGTTTGTAAGTAGATTACTTATGCACAACATAGTACGATAGCGTTGATGTATAACAGTGTTGAACAGAACTAAATTGAGAGTAAGTGCGCGAGAGCGTAAGTGAGTGATAATCATCAATAATGATGATTATCAAAAATGGAGAAAAATGAAGAGAAAAAAGAGAATATTCGTTTAGCCAACACTGCTATCGTAATATTTTGTGTATTAGTGATGTATACACCCGTACTCTCATCCCGTCATTCATTTTTGATGATGCTCTCTTAGTTACGCTCTCACATACTTATTCTCCATTCAGTACCGGACAACACTGGGGAAAATTAATCACATAAAGCATTGCTGCAAAAAGTCTCAGATGCTCTTCCACTCTCTCTCTCTCTCTCTCTCTTTTAGAATATAATTTCATTGACTCCTAAACTGAAAGCAAAAGACTTAAGACCCAAACCTTATTTGTACGTAAATAAAATACATAAAGAGAGCTTTGCGGGAATTACAGAAAATAGTATCTATCTCTCTCAGACTTCTACAACTCAAATGAACCCAAAAGACTTAAGTCACGAACCTATTTTGAAATGAAATTATTAAAATGGACATTGATGGTACTTTGAAAAATATCATTTACTCTCTCACAATAAATTTGGTCTCTCCAAAAATAAAAAACGAAGGCTTAAGAAACAAACAGTATTTATAAATAAATGACATATAGAGAGCTTTTTAGAATAAAATAAATAAGTCTATTCTTTGTAGAATATGATTTTAATATCTTTCAAACTCATGTAAAATCAAAAGACTTAAGACATGAAGAATAAATAATCACATTGGAAAATCATTCAATGTATTATAAGCATAAAAAATAATCTGCCTTTTTCGCAGAATTTTTTTCCACCACTGAAGAAACGAACACGTTTTGAAATTAAATTAATAAAATGGTCATTGATGGATTTACTAAGAAAAGTGTCATTTACAGAATATGATTTAAAAAAAAATCAACAAAAAAAAGAATTTTTTTTTTGGTTTTTGAAAAATGTTTTCACCAAAAATAATAAGAATAATAGTTGATTCCATTTTTCAATAATTTTAAATCCAATTTTCCCATTTTATTTCACGACTTATACAAAATCTCGTGGTTATTTTTTTACCAGAGAATCGAAATAATTTGTTATTTTTATAATAATAATCTGTATTTTTCGAAGATTTTTGTTTTTGTTTTTTTTAGAAATTTTTTTTCACCAAAATGTCCGAATAAATGTTGATTCCTTCTTTCAATATTTTTATATCCTATTTTCCTATTTTATATATTGACTTATATAACATTTCGAGGTTATTCTTTTACAATTTTTGATATTTTTCAATATTTCTTAATCATATTTTTTCAAGTTTATTTCTTGACAAAATTGTTTCTCGTGTTATTTTTTGTCTGTATTTCATCCCGATCTCTTTTTTATGATTCACACAGTGAGATGGGGCTATTAAAATATTTGTTTAATTTATTTTTTCTCCGCATCTCCGAAACCATGCAAACTGTCATGTGGTATGAAGATAAAAGCCCAATTTACCATGAAACAAAAATTAATTTTTTCTACTTTTTTTATGAATTTTGACAAATTCCGATGACTTAATGTTTTGTTATGGCAATTAAAAAAGACAACATAATCATAATTACAGTTTGTTAACTGTAACATATAAATCTTGAAACAAAAATTACAAAAAACACTCCGAAAATATGTGAAGCTTTCATTAGCTTTCCATCAACTTATCGTTAAGCCATTAATCTTAAATTGAAATTAGCTAGATAGCCCAAACAAGTGAGTGAGTGTGAGTAATAGGCACGTCAATGGGTATGCGTGTATTTGTATGTGGAAGAATGTCCACCATGGGTTTGTGTCTTAAGTTTTTGGTTTGTTGTTGTTGGTTTTTTTTTCTATTTTGGAATAACTAATCAAATGGACAAGTGAAAGTATGCACATATACACATATTTTAAATAGAAGATTAACAAACAACAAAAATCATTTACATTAAAAAATTATAATAAAAAATGTTTATTATGCTAATTTCTTAAAAAAAACTAATCTTTAAAGAAAGTTTAGTTTTTAAAGTTTTTTGAAACACATGTGCTAAAATAAAATTTCCAATAAATCAATTTTTGTAATTTAAGCATCTAAGCCTTTAAGCTTTTTAATGTAATTACACTTTAAAGTTTTGTAGCATTAATTGATACTTGAACATGATTTTCTTTCAAATGAGAGAAGTGGAAAACAACTAACCAAAAGGCCATTTTGCCCATTTAAAAAATCATAAATCACTCCTACTCAAATGCTGCATAAATTTCCGTTCTTGTATTTGTGGCCCACAGCCAACAATGATGATGATGACAGGTTGACCAGACCATGTTTAACACCTTCAATGACTTGAAATGTTGGCCATGCAAAAACAAAGAAAATGAAACAAAGTCATGACATTGGTTCATTAGTTTTTTTTTGCCATACAACCACAACAATCATATTTCAAATTTTAATAAATTTTCTTATTTAATGGTTTTGCAGTTAGTTAAATGAATTGACATTCTTGTGTTTGCCTCTGCCACTCAATTGTTCAGTCCTCCTTTTCCCTCTCTCTCTCTCTCTCTCTTTCTCTCTCTCTCTCTCTCTTTCTCTCTCTGAAGCTGATATTATGACATCCACAGAAAAAAACACATGTTGTTAATATCAATAGTTTTGCCTAAGGCTACTATTTTTCATTTTTCGTTCTGTTACTTAGCAATTTGGCGCATGATTTGGTTCGAAGTCTGAAATGAAACTCAAGTAACACATGTTGTGTGTGAACAAAACAACCAACAACTGCAACTGGTTCCTATTGCAAATGTCGACGTTCTAAACATTGTTGTTTTGACATTACAGCAGCAATAAAAGAAACAAACACTTTGAAGTTAGTTACCATTTTAATTTGGGCTAAATATTACTTTTCTCGATTCTTGTTAGGTGACAGAGTTGTCATATTTCGGCTTTGCCAGAGATATACATGTTAATAATACAGAAATCAAAATTTCCTCTGACCTTTTTTAATTGACGTTGAAAGAAAATGAAATAAAAAGAATCCACAATGGCTACTAAGGTTTCTGTAGAACGTGCTCAGTATACCCAACAGCTTGCAAAATTCACTAAAATGGTATCTTACCCTCAAAATAAATTTTATTACAGAGATTAACCATGGTTTCATAAGCAATAATTTGGGGGAGTATTTTTCCAAGCTCCTTTAAACACATTCTCTCTTTAATCGAAAGACTAGAAAATAATAATTATTTTTTTAGTAATGGGATAATCGCATCTCTTTGGCAAATACAACAAATAAGAAGGGAATAATTTGCCCAAAAAAAAAAAAATTAAACATTCTCCTAAACACAATTGAGTGTTAAATGCCAAAGACTTAAGACACGAACAGAACTAAATAAATCACATATAGAGAGCTTAGCTATAATTATTAAATAGCATCACTCTCTTCCTCTCTCTCTCTCTCTTTGGCTGAAAATCAAATATAGTATTAATAGACTTAAGACACGAACGTAGTTTATAGAAACAAATCATAGAGACCAATCTCTCTCTTTCACTCTCTAGCAGAGTATCACTTAATGACACAAAATATTTTCACATTCTCCCAAACACAATTGAGCGTTAAAGATTTAAACATAAAACCAAAGACTTAAGACACGAACATTACTAAATACACATATAAAGAGCTTAGCTATAATTACTAAGGAGAGTCGCTCTCTTTTGCTGGGTATCATATATTGTATTAAAAGACTTAAGACACGAACATAACTTATAGCAATGATGGGCAAAATTTCTCTTAAAAAATGTTTAAGAGAAAAATAAAATAATATTTTTAAAGCATAAATAATATCCAAGGAAGTTCAAAAAATAAATTCATTAAAAAAAAATTTCGGAAAAAATTTCATTAATGTTTATTTTTGTTTTAACATCAAAAAATGTAAAGAGTAATAAATAAATTAAATCCATATTGATAGCTATAATACCATTAGCAAGGAGAGCCATTCTTGAACTCACATTAAAAGACTTAAGACACGAACACTATTTGTAAATAAGTGATTCACATAAACGGAGTTTAGCTTGTTGAAAAGCTAAGGAAAATCTCTAGCAGAATTTAATTTAATCATCTATCAAACTCAAAGGAAAACAAAAAACTTAAGACACAAACATGATGTTCATATAAATAAGTGAATCTAATATAAAATACTAAAAATGACTTAGATGGATCTCTCTCTTTCTCTCTCTCTCACTCTCCCTATCCCTCTGAATGCAATTGTATTGCCTTGATGAGACCGTTAATAAAATTCTTGCCCTCTCTTCTTTATACGGTATTCTCTCTCTCAAGATAAAATCAAAAGACTTAAGACACAAACCTTATTTTTAAATAATTTTAGCAATTAAAGAGAGCTTTGCTGTAAATCAGGCATGCTTACCCATATACGCTACCGTAACTGAGGGTCGATGGGTAAACACATTTTCTCTTTCTTTCTCTTTACGTCAGTCGTTTTTAATGGTGAATTCTCAGTTACGCTCGCACACACTTGCTCTCAATTTAATTTTGCCCAACACTGCTGTAAATACTATGAAGGTAGATAATTGATAGAAATATTTCAAAATATACCATTTGCTCTATATCCCTCTAGCTCTTTCTTTGAAGGTAATGCACTACCTATTTTAGCATAATATTAAATTTTAGCGTTAATATATAAATAACAAAATCTTGATTTATGAATAATTATTAAATATATGGAAATAACTCTTTTTACAGAATACCCATTTCTTTAATTCAAATAGAATTCTTTAAATATTTTTAAAAAGTTAGAAATATGACAAAATAATTTAATTTAAAAGAATACAATATGCAAATTTTAAATTAATTTAATATTCCACCATTTCATTAAGGATTAGGTTTTATTAATTTTTGAAGCATATCCCAGAAAGTTCCTTTGGAAATTGAATAACATTTTCGAATGCTGTTACTATTTTCACGACAACCCTATTTTCAGCCAGAAAAAAGTTAATTAAAAATGATTTTGTTTTTCTCAGGCTCCCATGACTACTTGAAACACCTCACATGAAAACAAGTTTTCAGTCTATCGAATACTAAACTTGAAACAAAAATTCGATTGTAATGTCAAGAACACATAAAAGTTGCGCAAAAAACATAACCAAAGAACCATGGCAAACAATTTTAGTTGATTTTTATCAATACAAGTTTTTTTGTTTATTTTTAGGTATTTGTTGATTTGTTTTTATTTATCTAATGAGTCGCGTGGGTGACAATCAGTTTAAGTGCAAAGCAAATAAAAACTTATTTGCAGACTTTTTTAGATTTTGGATTTTGAAATAATGATTTTTAAAGCAAACAAAACCATTATTGTATTTTCGCAAAAAGCACAATTCAAATAAACACAAAAGACTTAAGACCGGAACATTTCAAATATTTTCAAATTAAATGCGGGCGATTCTAAAGTGATTTATTTTAAACAAATATCTTTGAGGGGGCTTTTAAGTGGAAAAAATAAATATTTATTTTATAGCTTAAAATATCTATCAATTATTTAAGAATTTACGTAAGCAATTTATGGGTATTTAAATTTTAAATGCAAATTAAAAAAAATATTTCTTTGTTTGCCATTTTCCAGTGAACCATTTTATTTGCACATCTAACCGTTTAAGAGTGATGGTCAATTAAAAATATTCATGCAGCCAAAATCGCAGGATTTTCAAGAAACAGAATATATATCGTTCGAACTTGAATGCTTAGCTTAGCACTTCAATCCCTTAATAATGAAAACCACGAAAATTTTAAGATTTTCTCAATTTTGAAGATTTTCTCGAAAATTTTAAGATTTTCTCGAAAATTTTAAGATTTTCTCGAACATTTTAAGATTTTTTTCAATACAAAAATTTATAAGAAATTTGTTTAAATTGCATTTTTATTTTTAATATTATTCTTTTCGGAGTCAGTTTAATTTCCAAAAATTAAAAAAATATATATTTTTTTTTCAAAACAAAAATTTATAAGAACTTATAAGAAATGTGTTCAAATTACAAATCTTTCTTTAATTTGTGCCTTTTTGAGATCTGTTAAACTTTCCAAAATTATATACTATTTTTTTATTTTAGTTTCTAACTTACCTGAGTAAATGGCAACTGCTCGGAATTGGCACCACATTTGCACACACTTTGTTCAATGACACGCATGGCAAAACGTCTATGGGCAATGCAGGCCTGTGACTCACATGCGTCACTATCATCTGCAGAGATATGGGAGTGGACACGATGCAGTAGCAGTTCAAAACATTCGGCAGCATCACCCAAACAACCCAAAGGAAAACGGCGTCCAGCCAATGGGCCAGAGGCCAAGGCACGGCGCAAAGGTTCAGGGCACAAGGCCGGTTCGGAACTGGTTTGTAATTGTTGGAAAAGTTCCTGTAGACAAAAACAATTAATTTATTAAATTTATTATAAAAAAAATTATGTGTAAACAAATATTTTTATATAATTTGTATAAAAATGCATTGTCATTATGTGTGTGGGATTTTCATAAATTTTACAGTAATTTTAAATTAATTTTTATTTTTTTGTTTTTCTTTTTCTTTACTACTCACAATAACTGCATTAATACAACGATCCCGTTCGGCAATATTTTCCGGACTTAAAATAATGCCACTACTCAAACTGCTGTTGTTGTTCATTTGATTGCTTTTTCCATAGCCCATACCGGCCAATTCCGCTGTCGATGCCACCTTGGCCAATGATGGCAATAGTTTACGATTATTCTGCAAGGTATTCGATTGCCTCGTTAATGTAGCCGATTTGTGGCCATCCCTTGGATCCATAATGGCCTTCTTGGGGGTACTACGTGGCAAAGTACCGCCACCACCCACAGACAACACCATTTGACAATGTTGTGGATATTGTAACATTTGCGAGGTGGAATTTACAATACTTATCGGTGCACTGGTCACCAATTGCGATGACATGGGCGATTTGAGACCATTTGAGGCATTACTGCAACTGCTACTTTTTTGCAAAGGTATTATCGATATTGGTTTACAATTTTCTTTACTATCATCCGGTTTGGATATGGTTGAGATGGGTGAGTTATTAGCATTACTGCTACTACCGCTGGATGATGATTTGGTGCCGTTGCTATTATTATTGCTGGTTTGCGTTTTATCACCACTCGAACCAACAATATTTGTTGGTTCTTTACGTTTGTAACGAAATTTAATCATTTTGTTTAGGATTTCTATAGGCAGGGTTGTAAAGGGTGTAACAAAATAAAGAGAGAAAATCTCTTTAAGGTATTAGTTTTTTTGGAGGTTCCTCTTCTTTTCCACGGATTTATATCATGTTTATTAATTTTGATATTTCTGTAATAAAATAATTTATTTAAATTAGTTTGAATTTATGGATTTTGTTTTTCTATGCAAACAAAAATCCAAAAAAATAATGATTTTGTTGTTGTTGTAGTGGAGTTATCACATTTCTCTTTGATTGAAATTTACACAATTGATTACAAATAAATATTCTCTCCCTTATTCAATTTCTCTTTACAAAATTCAACCATTTTATCTGAATCTAACATATTTCATTCTCACAAATTAATAGAGAATGTTTTGTTGCTCAGAGCATCTTTTAATACTCTCGTAAACGTAAATTAACGGAAAATAATGTCATTCAAAACTAAAGACTTAAGCTACGAACATGGATTCCATCACAACCCTTTATTGACTCTCATTTATCTGAGTAAGGCAAAATACTCTCCCTCCCACTCAAGATAATGATGTTACACAAACTGAAAGACTTAAGAAATAAACTTTATTTCTAACGGAATATATGCTCTCAGAGTGTAGAATGATACTCTGAGAGCATAGAAACTGATATAGGTGCATAAAATAACTACAGAAAAAAACTTAAGAAACAAACCTTATTTCTAATGGAGTAAAATGAAATCTGCCTAAGAGAGTGGCAAAAAATTGTTACACAAACTAAAAGACTTAAGAAATAAACTTTATTTCTAACGGAATATATGCTCTGAGAGTGTAGAATGATACTCTCAGAGCATAGAAACTGGTATTGGTGAATAAAAAAACTACAGAAAAAGACCTAAGAAACAAACCTTATTTCTAATTGAGTAAAATGAAATCTGCTAAGAGAGTGGCAACAAATTGAGTTTACAAGACAAAATTCGGCATGAAAAAAATTGGACGTGAAATCCATATCGTGGAATCAATTTTGTAGGAGACCAGAGATTTTGAGGTTTTTCCATACTACCAAACCAGTGGGGTTGATTTTATTATTTTAGATTAGGCGCCTGAATTTGTTGTAGATCAATTTATTACCGACATTATGGGTTATGACATATTTTTAGCAAAGATTTTTTTTCAATTTTGTCCTTCGGGATTTCTTTTTAATATTTGTTAATACTCTGTGTTTAAAGGGAATTTTCATCAACATAATTTTTTTCTTTTTTTTTGGTAGTTTTTATTCAGGTTATTGATGGAAGGTGTTTTATTTTCGATTCTTTTTTATTTGGCAAAAAAACAAACTTTCGTTTTTGTTTCTCCCAAAAAAATAAAATATTACATCTTTGATATTAAAAACAGTCAATATTCCATTTCAGCTCCTCTTCCAAGATGCAGAAACGAAAAACCTACGAAGAAGAATTCCGACAGCAGCAACAAAAAAAAAACAACTTTCAAAAGTAGCACATGACACACAAAGAGAAGGCGACTGGCCATTCAACCGAGACATACAACAACAACATATCAAAGAAGATGATAATGTACAATCAACAACAACTTCTTATGACCATTAAAAGGCCAAGAGATAAACGTCGAAGATGGCAAATATCACCCACTTGTGTGAAGTTGAAATTGAAATAAGAAAACAACGGCAAAGCAAAAACCTTTTAAGTCACAAAAAATGATGACGACCACACGGCATGGAGAGCTGAGATGGATCGACAATATTAGCAACAAGTTTTTGTTTGGGCTTAAAATGCATAAATAAAAAAACAAACTATACAAAAACAAAATACCTTACTTATTAAATGCTGGTGGTACAAACAAAAAAGTTTCAATTCTGTTTTTTTTTCAAACCCATAGAAATTACCAACAATTATGCTATGGTCAGCAAAAATACAACTACACACAGGTGCTTCTTGGAAATTTTGTTGTCGACAGCAAAAAACAAAATACAAACTTTGCAAGAATTTGTTTTTTCTTGCGCTGAAATTAACATACATTTTTTTTTTTTGTTTTCTGTGGAACAAGTTTGGAAAAAGTGAAATTTCATTAAAGGAAAAAAACCAATTGCAAGGGAAATTTTTTGTAGAGAAAATTTTTTTAAGGGTTCGTAGCTAAATTTAATAAACCACCTGTTAAATGAAGGGAGAGAAAAAGTCTACAGATGTCACAATAAATAATTTAAACATGTTGTGTTTTCTTGTTAATGGAAACCTGTCAATCTTCGTTTTTGAAGGGAATCGAGAGAATGTTGACGTTTTTTGTCTATGGAAAATTATTAACATAAATATGTAAACAAAACACCATTCAATCTCCATCGAAAATGATCAAAAGAAACACATCACTTTAAGTGAGAGAGATATCTGTCTTTGTTAGCATCCATCCCATTTCAAACATGTCTAACACAACACCAAAAAATGTTTTGTGTTATGGTAATTATGTATTGTTTTCGAAATATTTTTTTTTCTTTTTTTTTTTTGTAAATTGATTAGATAAACAAAAAAAAACATTAGAAAAATGACACTTGGATAGATAAACACACACACAAACTCACATAAACGATTTTTTTAATGCAGGTACAGTAATTTGTATTTGATGTATGTGTCCAATAATCGAAATGATGAAGGAATTCCAATGCCAGTAGGAATGTGAGTATTTATACCCCCCGAACTTATGGTGAAGTGTATCTTGATATTGTCATTTTCTTTGCAACACTTCAAGGTATTCGGCGGAGACCCCGAAAATGTATATATTTTTATTATGCTGAATTGTCTGTAATTTTTTATTTTTTATTTTGGATACTCATTGGGTAGACAATCGTTGTACCAAAAATTATAAAAATTGGCCGATTTCTTCGTGCATTTCCAATGTAACGATACCTCGCAAATATCGATATTTTGAGGAGTTTGGGATCGTTTTTCCAAAAAAAAAATTACTAAAATTTAATATTTTTATAAGCTCAACCATCAGGTGGAAGGTATATTAAATTTGTCACTAGGTTTGCAACACTTCGAATTATTCACCGGAGAACCCCACAAAGTACCTATATTCATGATCAGAATAAAATTCGATGTCGATTTATGCATTTTCGTCTGTCTGTTGATATTACAATAGATATGGCAATATTTAATATATAGTTCTGAAATTTCACACCGATATTGCTAGTACTCCAAGGATATTTGGTGGTGCAAATGGGGTATGTGGGTCCACGGTTTGTTGTAGACCCCACATAACGGTACCCCCCACCCCCCCCCCCCAATATTTGGTATTTTAGGGATTTTGAACCCGTTTACCAACAGAATTGGCTGTACTTTCGAATTTTGGGCTGTAATTTGAGTTCTCGTTTAGTAACACATGTGCGTACCAAAAATTATTCAGATTGATCCAAGTTTCAAGGTAGCCCTTATATAACCCTGCCCACAAATATTCGGTATTTTGGGGATTTTGGACCAGTTTTCCATCCGAATTGGCTGTAACTTGGTATTTTAGGTTTTCATTGTTGTTTTTATACCCTACACAACTATGTTGTCAGGGTATTATAGCTTTGTGTAGCCCCAAGAGTTTGTAACGCCGCGAAATATTGGTCCTAGAACCAACTTTAAGTATACCGATCATATACCGGTCATATCTCGACTAGCTAGTGGAGTATACCGATTTAAGTATACCGGTCATATCTCGACTAGCTGAGCCGATCTAGACATGTGTGTCCGTCCGTCTGTCCATTATAATTTGTAAACACGATACAGGCCACAGTTATGGACCAATCTTCACGAAATTTTGCATGTAGGATGGGTTCTGGCCTTTGAAGACCCCTATTGTTTCTTGAAAAGATCGGTTAATATTTAGGGGATGAAATGGACCAAAAACTAAATTTTTCTATGATTTTCTGGTCGCTCTAGAGGCCGCAATTATGGTCCAAATATCGCGAATTTTTACATGGAGAAGGGGATCGAACCAAAGAATATGCGTGCTTGCTTTGATAAAGATCGGTTAATATTTAGCGGGTCAAATTGATCCAGACTTTTGTGTGAAAAATTACAAAATTTCTATTCTATGGCGTATAAATTTAGTCCTGAAGGACATAGACCCGAGAAATTGATAGTATATCCAAGAGGAGTGGATGGCCTTTAAATTGATACCAATTACATTGTATTATATAAACGGATGTGGGAGTTACACTTAAATAATTACAGGTGTTTACGTAATCAGATATTAAGTAGTAACACATTATAGCACTAGAGGGGGAAATATAGCGCGGATCGCTTTGAAATTTTCCATGAGGATCCAGGTATGGTCAGGGATAACGCCAACAATTTTCGGTGATGATCAGATAATAATATTGGGATGCAGTGGACCGAAAACCTAATTTTTGTGTTTTTTTTTCGAGTCGAAACATCACAACACACAACACAACATACGGTAAAGAGAATCTGGACAAGTTATTGGAAGGGCTGCACTGGATATTAGTAATATTGGCTGACCTTTAGACGGTCGAGAGGTTACAAATATCGCGAAATTTTGCTCAAGTTCAGAATAAAGAACCACACAAAGTTAGATTTCCGTGGATGTTGTGT